AAAAAATTCACTAAAATAAAAAATGTTTATAAACAATTTTGTTGTCTCACTAAGTTGTCCATGTGTATTATAGATGAAAATTGTCTTCAATCTGTCACATTTCCTTATGCTGCTAATCACAACAGCTACCTGTCTGAGAAAGTTACAATACTGTTTATGGGACGTTGCTATGCGCAATTGGTCTGCCATGCCTGCCTACAAATACACGGTCATTCCATTTCACAGTAAATCCTCTGAAGTGCTTTGGGACGTCCTCCCGACATGAAAGGCGCTCTACCAAACGGAAGGATTAGTATATTATTATTATATCCATTCCGCAACTAGTCTGCATTGAGAATTTAATTGCAAGGTTTCTCAGATTTCTTTGGCTCACTTTTCTTCCCCGATGCGATGTTTATATTACAGTGAATGGCAGCAAGAATTTTAACAAAACTACCACTACACCAAGAAACAACAAAGGGTTTCAAAAAGAAACTAGACAAATTCCAGTCAACTAAAAGGTTCAAGTTCATTTGGATTTAAAGAGACTTCTATATCAAAGCACTCTTATGGGAAATTTGCAAGGAACAATGGAACGTAGGAAAAGAGGAATGGGAGGAGGACATCAAGCTTGTTCCACCGGTTCAGTAAGTCCTGACAAATCTCAATTCCAAATCTCAATCTTGCCTTTTGCCAAACCCCATTAATACTTCCACCATCCAAGTGTTTGTCTCTCTTTCAAGCTTGCTTATTGATTCCACTTCTACAGTTTTGGGGGAGCAAACATTCCACTTCCTGATACCTCTGTTCTACCTCTTATTTTGGTTTTGAGGTCCTCTTGTAATGGATACCTCTACCAGAGAAAAGAATTGTCCACGATCTAAACTGTCAACTCATTTCAATCATCTTAAGTACCTTAATCAAAACATCCCTAACCTTCTCTGCTCTCATGAAAATAACCTTGTCATATCTAAGCCCTCCTCAGACCAGGTATTAATCGAGTGAACTGTTGCTGAACAAGGTATTGAACAGTGAATAGTAAACTATCGGAAGAATAGTATAACTTTCCTACGATTGGGTACCCAAAACTGAAGATGGATTGGCTAGATGAATAGTCTTCTGCCTGAAACGTTTTTCTAGATTATTAAATCTATAGTATAACACTGCATTTAAACGCTCTGAGATGTTGCCCTGTGTAAAGGGCACTACATAATAAAATAATAGTAATAATCCTTGCATTTGATATAGCGCTTTTCATGTCTTCTCGACTTCTCAAAGCACTTCACAGAATAGACTGTAAAGTGAATTGACTGTATAGTTGTGGGCGAAAATACAAGTTGTTGAATATACTTCAATAGGATAATAATCTAGTTCCTTTCAATTCCTTAGTTTTCCTATGCTCCCCCATATAAACATCTACCACACCTCTTACCGTTATTGCTTTCTCTTGATCTCAAATCTAAATCATTGCTAAAGAAGCTTCCAGGTTATTTGATTTCCTGTTTTGTCCTAAATATGTTATCTTTAACAACCGAATGCTCAGGTATATCCAGAACTTCAATGTGACATTACATTGCTCTATTCAAAGAGCCGGCACAAACTCGATGGGCCGAATAGCCTCTTTTTGTGCTGTACGATTCTATATGTTGGTCTTCCATATCTGAGGAAATCTATTTCAACGAGTTCCTTGCATTTCCAAACAGAATACAAGTTAAGTATGACAGGTGATTTTTCTCTCACCTCTGACCTCCATCCTCTCACTATGCTGACTTATCTCAATCAATAATGCAAAAGTCATTCATTGCTTTCCTTTTATTTCTCCCAAGGACCAAATATATAAGCTTACAGTCTCGCTAAGTTGTTATCGCATATATCCCTGTTTCCATTCTAATTTCTGCTTTTGAAGGAACTCAAGATTGTGCAATTCGTTAGCTCCTCCGGTCTTCCCTTCCAACAATGGTCAGGCCTTTAAAACAAAAGCTTGATGTCACATGATAACATTGACAAATCCCCTTTCTTCTGCTGCTCTTCAATTTTCACAATCCATCGCCTTCTTCACTTTGACTATTGTTTAGGTTCTCAATCTGAAATAAATATCTGTGCATGTTGTCAGCTCTTCTCAGTGTTATTTTTTTTTCCCTATCAAATCCCTTATTTCAAGTAAGACATTTGCTTTCCAGCTGTGCCTAACACCCAATTTGCCAAATGCCATTTCAAATACTTTATTTTGCAATTAGTTTATAATAATCTATTCAAGGTTACCTACATTATTCACTCAAGTTTCAATTTGATTTTAAAGGATTTACAGAGTTACATTTCAAAAAAGGATTGGTTGATTTGGTTACAAAAAGGAGACTAAATATAATTTAGGATTTGGAAATGGACAAGGCCCTGCAGATTCCAAATATGATGAATAGAAGATCCAAATAGAAAATCCAATTAAACTATAAAGATTCCTTACCCGTTCCTCAACAGCAAGACAAAAGATTCAATCACACAGCAATATATTTGATAAAATACCTTATTGAACAGCAATGGGATTGACATATCTTGTACCATACTTCAAAACGGGTCAGACATATATTGTATGGGAAATTAACAAGTTATCAGAGGAATGCAGGAAAAAAGACCATACAGGTTCTGGTCCAGGACCCGATATGATAATCTAGAATAGAGTTGACTTCAACGCATAGGAAAATCAGCAGCTTCTTGGAGACATGCCATTCCACTTGGAGCTAAATTTAGAATAATACCATTATTAATTGGAAGTTATATATGGTGTCTAGAAACTGGGGGAAATATTTTCCAAATCATTTGTTTAAAAAAAACGGAGAATCACACACAGCGATCAGTAAAAATTATAAAAATCTCAACTGGAAGGCTAAACTTCAGCTATCCACTGAATCTTACAGATGATTGCTCAGTCTCATTTCTAGCCACAACAATTTTTTAAAAATAAAAATGGGATTAAAAATTAAAATATTGATAATGGCAATAAATGTAATATTTTACTTCAATGTTTTAATAGGTTATAATAAGTAGAATAATTTCATATTCATGTGTAAGGTTCAGGAATCATTTTCAAACTAACAAAATTAGAAAATAGTTTCCTAAAAAAAATACATTTGTTCATCATCTGAAAAGTTAAACCATGAATTTACAAAAAAAATCCCCCAAATGTTCCATGCAGAACAAAAGCACCAAATTTTGAAAAAAACTATAAATGTATAGATTTATTTGGTACAATCAGTCAAGTCAAACATATAATCACCACCCGTTAAGCTACAAACGTAAAACAAAAACGCTACCTAGGAAACTGCCTAATTAATGACAATTCTTAAAACAGTGAATCATTTCACAAGGAAAACCCGACAATTGCTATTGTATACTTGATGAGATGTAAAAACTTATGGGATTTGAAGATCCGTCTTGTTTGACAGGGTCTCACGGAAACATGACCCTGTCAAACAAGACGAACCTTCAAAAACTTTCCAGACTCAGAAAAAGATTTAGAATGACTAAAAGAGAAAAGAAAAAAAATCAAAGACTTATCCAGTTTATAGAAGTGTGAACCACTAGAAACAGTCACCAGAAACAGTTATGATTAAATAAAAACGCACCTTTGATATGAATCACAAAAACGAAACGGCAGAGAGAATCTCTTTTTGCCCCTACAATCAAGTCTGCTTGAGTTGGTAGCACTCAATTCTAAATGAAAGAGTGTTGTGGCAAACCCTGCGCTTTGGGACTTTGAGCTCTTCAATGCAGTGCTGAGAATGTGCTACATTGTCAGAGGTCCAACCCTTCTAATGATGGCATTAAATGTATGTGCCTCTTCAGGTGGATATTAAAAATCCCAAAGCACTATTTGAGAAGAAAGGAAGTTTCTCGCTGTGTCCTGACCAACAATCTCCCAGATATAAAATTATTGGTCTTGCAATTTCATGGCTGTTTGAGGAACATTGCTCTGCTAAAATTGCCTGCTGTGTTAGCCCACAAATATCCAGGCAGTACACTTTACAGAAAAACTTGAAAAACGGCTTCAAGACATTGACATGATCAGGCATTAAATGGGATTATCCATATCACAATAAACTAGCAAGCTTTCTCACTTGCAGCTGTGTCAAGATGTTGGAAACATGGGCAAGATTGATTTTTTTAAAAAATCCTAAATTCATAGGAATGGCCAGATAAACTTAACTGATTTCATTTTTGTGCGTGTGTGTGTGGGGTGGTGGTGGCGGGTTAGTGGAAAATGACAATATGTAATATGAAGGAGAAATTAATAATGCAGCATTTTATTTTTCTTCCCCAAAATTCAATGTCCGTAGATACACATACAGGAGAGAGTCAGGCCAACAACTGAGAAAGAGATGGAAATAATAATCCTTGCATTTGCATTTGATATAGCACCTTATCATGTCTTTGAGACACCTCAAAGCGCTTCACAGAATATACTGTAAAGTGAATTGACGGATATTTTTGTATCAATTGTGAATTGACTAAAAACATCACATAGAAAATGCTGTTTCCTATGTAACAGAAGATGTCTAAAATTTTACTTCTGTCTGGTACAGGTTGTAAAAAAAAGTCTTCCGCAGGAGAGAGGGGAGGACAAGCCAGGGCACGTCTCTCCAAATATACCTCTCGCTCCCATAAGGTGCAGCAAAACACGAGAAATCAAAAGAGCATAGCCAGAAAAGAGATTTGACATTCCCAAAACTAACCATCCTTTGTCATTTTAAGGGCAGGGGGAGGGAGACACACACACACACACAATTTTTTGGTGTGAATTCCCCTTTTGGCTGTGGTGTTTCACCCACAAAATAGTGTATCCTGTGAGGCGCTTTGAGACGTCTGAACGACGTGTTAAGGCACTGCATCAAATGCAAGGAATATTATGACTCTCTTCTTCCCCACTCCCAAAGTACCTAACCACCCGCCACACAGAGGAGAAAGGGAGAGAGAGAGAGAGCGAGAAATGTTATCACCCAACACGGGAAACACTTTCTTCCACTTACCTCAAACCCTCCGCACGACCTTCCCCTCCAGCGACATCTCCAAGAGAAAATTCACCGGCCACCGCAGCAAGAGAAAACCTTCTTAGATGTATTGTAATTGGGTTGAGAAGGGTGGGGAGGAGGATAAATAAACCACAGAGAGTTGGAAGCAGAACGACACACAAAAAACTACCTCTCTAAAATAAAAAAAAAGCTTATATTTATATTATATATATATATATATATAAACAATTAAAAGTCCGGTGCCGGTTAGAGGGAGAGAGGGGAAGAGATTTTTAAAAAATATATATATATATTTTCTTTTAACACGATCGAATTCGACCGTAATAGGATTTTTTTTTGTTGGCCTGAGGTGAACTGGGGAATGAGGGTAAAGAGGTAACTACCACCATAGATAGGTATACATATTTATATTTAATTTAAACGCCATATAAAAATATAGAGATGTACATTTCTACAAGCGCGTAGGCGGAGACGGGGACACACACACACACACACACAACACACACACAACAACCACAACAAAAAGAAAAAGAGACGCACGTTATTTTTTTTTAAAAAAAGGGAGTGAGAGGAGAGAGCCGGACAGCGGCTCAGGCAGTCAGTCAGTCAGGCAGTCAGTCAGGGCCCGCGGTGCTGGGGGAAGCGCCTCTCCCTCCCTCCCCGCCCCCGCCCCCCCTCTTCTCGGCGACGGTTATAATGGTGGTCGCGCGAGCATTTGAAGGGAAGGAAACTTGCTGACGGAGAGCCTCCTGCCCCGCCCCACAACTGACTGACTGACTGACTGACTGACTTGACTGACCACTCACTGACTGCCGGCGACCGCCCACCAGCCCGCAGAGCGCCTCTCTGTCCAACCAGACAGTCCGGTGGGCGGGACTTCCGCTAGCGCGTTTGGTTGGCCGGTGCGGGTGGAGGGTGTGCAACGGAGGAGGGAATCATTGTGAATAATAGTCGTGATATGACGCCTTATCGCGTCTTGGAGACGTCTCAAAGCGCTTCGCAGAATATACTGTAAAGTGAAGTGAATGTCCATGTCATCCCATTTCACCTCCGAGCTCCGGGTAGAAATGGCTGAGTGGGCGGCAGGGCTGCAGCTCAGCTGTACGGTATATCCCGGGTAGCGCTGCGAGGTGTCTGGACAATGTGATGATAAGGCACTACAGCAATTGCGAGGATTGTTATTACTATTAGAATTGGCTCACAGAGGGTTAGGATGTGGAATGCCTTTGCGGGGAACGGTGGTTGATGGCGTAATCTGTGTTAGCTTCCAGGAAAGAATTAAATATCGAAAAAGGAGAAAACGACTGTGGCTATAGTTTGTCTCGCGCCTTGGGACGTCCTGACCGTGAAAGGCACCGTACAAATGTCATTTGTTTTTGTCTAAAAGGGTGAAATATCCAGGCACACACAGAAAATGTGCAACAATGAATATCTTATGCTCTGCAATCTCTCCCAACATTCAGTCCTAGACAAGTACATTGTACGTACTCTTCTCGTGAGTATAATAAGAGGACTTTTTTAAGGCATCTCAGCCTTGTTGCATGTGGTGATTGAGTAGGCACATATTTTTAGTCCTCCCCCACTACCCCCATCATCATCAGTTAAAAATTAAGCACATTCTAATTCTTGCTCCTGCTTCTCATAAGCTTTTTTATGATGTCTGTTCCAGCCATCATTTATAGGTTTATGAGAGCACTTTGTATTGCGATCAACAAATATAAAAAAGGAGCCAACCAATAAAACTAGTTACTATGGCTTGAGTTTCAATTCTGTGCAGTTTTACACTTTGGACTCCCTCCATGAGCCCCTCTAATCTGGTCAAGGTCACAAATGACATCCTGACCATATGTGACCAGGGCTCCCTCTGCCTTCTCTTCCTCTCCACCACCTTTGATATTGTGGACCACTCAATTCTCCTCCACCGCCTCTCCTCTTCCTCCGTTCATCGGGCTCCGGCCTGCTCCATGTCTCCTGCCTGACCTGCCCTACCATTGGTGGCCGGGCTTTCAGCCTCTCTGCCCCCACACTCTGGAACTGCATCCCACAGTCCCTTCGCCTCACTTCCTCCCTTGCACCCTTCAAGTCCGGTCTCAAGACCCTCCTCTTCGATCGTGCCTTCAGTCGCCCTCGCACCTCTCTGCCTTCCCTCACCCCTACCCCACTGCTCCCCCATGCTCGGGTTCTGACCCCTGACTGTCCAGCGCCTTGGGACGTCCTCCTGAAGCGAAAGGCGCTCTATAAATGTAATTTTGTTGTTGTTGAACTGTCAACATTTTTCTTCTACTACAGCTGTTTAAGATCATTATTTTAAATAAATAAAATCTACCTCTGCAAAATCCCTTGCCCTTTCCATCCATTTGGCAAAATCGGGACTGCTGCACATCCCCATTCCTCTTTTGAAAACCAAGCTTTCAATTTCTATTCCACTGCTTTCTGAACCCCATTCTGCTTTCAAAACCCTTTTAAAAACCTATATTTATAATGGAGTCTCAGGTTACCTACCTGCCACCTCCCATCATTCTTGGGTTTTCATTCCATCACTGCAAAATGCTTTGAGACAATCTAGATCAAAGGCAAAATTGAAATGCAAGGTGGTGTTTGATACAACTTTTATTTATTTGGGAAAACTTAATACAATGGCATAAATCATGTCAAAGTGAGTCACTTGTAATTACAATTGTAATGAAAATGACACACAGCTGTTGGGTTAGTTACAGGCAAGGCTAGGTTACAATTTGAAGGGGATGCTTAGAAAACCACTGTAAACTATGACTGATGCTTCTGATGATATCCTGAGCAAAAAAAAATCAGATTAGCAACAATAGTAATGATAGTCAGAGTCACTGACAGAAAGGAAAATTGATGTGAGGTCCTAGCATGATTTTAATTAGTTACATTGAGTGACTTTTTTTCCAAATATATCTTTCCTATACTACAGAAACAACACAGTAAACGTTCTTAACGGTTAATAACTTTTCAAGGACTAAGAATTTGTAGAAATCTGATGAAAGACATTTTCAATATAAAAATGACATCCACAGAAGTGATGTCTGTAAATGCCTAATGGCAAACACAGTATTCAGAAGTAAAAAAAATGGAAAAATGAGCTTGAGAATGAATTGAAGATATTGGAATCTATGTTACATTGTAAATTTGAATACTGAAATGCTACTGTTCTCAAACAGTAAGGAGACTCTGTTATCCTGGTACTCCCTCTCCTTGAACAGCTTATGGAGGTCAGCCACTCAAGGTTTGAGTATTCAGTCGAGAACTTTCTAATTCTTCATGCAAGTGTGAAATTATTTGCAGCCACTAAAAATCAACTATTTTGAATCCTTCTAGTACCGCCATTGTCCAATGTTTTAGTCTTCTAATGGATTTCATTATAAATTCAGAAATTAGTGTTCTAATAAACCTATCAGCTTCCATAACAAGCAATGACACATCTAAATTATAAGGCTTCATCACCATTTTGCTATAAAATGTAATTTTCCAAATTCACAGATTATATAATAATAATCCTTGCATTTGATATAGCGCTTTTCACGTCGGGAGGACGTCCCAAAGCGCTTCACAGAACACACTGTAAAGTGAATTGACTGTATATTTGTGGGCGAACGCGGCAGCCAATTGCGCACAGCAATGTCCAATTATTGCATTTTAATGACACTATAATGGCCATGGAGTGCAACTCATATTTATGAATAACTCAGAATAGAGAGAGTTCCACTGAGGACAAAGACAGCCAGATGTGGTTGACAAACTGACTAATTAGAAAACCTGAAGGACATGGAGATAGTCCATTGAACAGGTAAACTTGCATAAATTATATCAGATTGGGACTAGAACATTTAATACCACTTATGTGAATACGAGTCATGGGAAAACTCGCATAATATGATGTACACAAAGCTAAGTTTGCCTTTTGTGACAAGATGGCAAGTAAATACCTTGTTTCCAGTGCAAATGCAGTACTAAATGACCATTGTACTAAATCATCATTGTAGGCAGTAAGTGCGCAGGCAGTGATGGTGATGGGTCAAAACTTCATTTCCCAAACTTGTTTCAAAGGTAGACTGCACGTGTGGTACCTCATCAACGGAGCTGGTAGTAAGTGCAGTAGTGGTGATATAAGTTAGGAGATGATTTACATAGGATTTAGGATTACTTGGGACCAAAATACTGTTTCAATTTAGCCATTTATCTGACTTCTAAAGTACAACTAATGCAAAGGAATCAAAGTGTTTTTTGATAGGAAAATGAATGGGACTCAAGTGCATGTACGACTTAAGTGATTATATGATTTATAAAGAGATTACTTATTTATCTGTACCAGATTCTGAAGCGCTAATATTTTTGTCCTTGATTTTTGTTATTTCTTTTGCCTGTGTGTAATCTGTTTTTGAAATCCTGCCAGAATTCACCACCTCTTCTTCCACACACACATACACACACACACCACATCTCTTTTCTATCAATTGCTACCCTGCAGGAAATGAAACTTCTGCCAAACTCATTTTCCTAGGACTCAATCAAGAGGGATATTCAAAACACCCGTCCTCCCATAAGCCCTAAGCAACTATAAGTTTCTGTAACTATTTCAGAGATGATTTCACCATCCAATAGTGCCAAAAGTCACTTTAATAGACATTCAGAAAATGTGTAAACATTTCACCACCAAATTAAGCCAGTTGCCTGTGCTGTACTAGTTCTCCCTGGGACTTACAACTTTAATACCATTTTCATGGTCTTTCCTGTATGTTTTTTAATAATCTTTAATCTTCATAAGTTTAGCTAATTTGCTATTAAGGGTCACAATTGGAACAGCTCTTCAATAATCACTTTGCTAACACTTTCCACATCCTACTAACTCTACATGTGAAACAAATGTTTCTATTGCTACCGGCAATATAATTTAATACCAAATTATATGGTTTGGTTGTAATATTAATGCTCAGTATGTCATAGGATTGTCATCAATCTGTACTGAGTTATCTGATTTCAGCTGCTGTCAAAGTAGGCACATAGCTCCTGAGTTAGGGAGAGGCAAAATCAGTCAAGGTTTCAGTTACTGATCTCTATCCAGTGACCTCTACTGAACAGTGAGCATGCTTGAATATCGAGAGAGAATAGTATATGACTGTGATATGGCTCAATAACTAGCAACGCTCATTATCCACGCTTCCATATGAATAAATCCTTTCGTTTGGTGTAGCACCTTTCACACTGGGAGGACACCTGAAACCACTTGACAGAATATACTGTAAACTAGTAATTTTGTATTGTGTGGGCGAAACAACAACCAATTTGCGCACAGCAATGTCCCACAAACAGCCATGAACTGCATGTTGAATTCTATTTGGAGAATGGTTGCCCAGGACACCAGAAGAAACTCCCTTCTCCTTTCTGTTGGTCAAATGGGGAAACCCATTACCATGCTAGAGTATCCTTAAGAGTTTTATGCATATAACCTACATGTAGAAATTCCCACATCTGAAATAGATTGGGCACTCCCTCCTCAGAGAACTTTACCCTGCTTACTTAATTCGGGAGAGTATGAAGCACAGGTTGGCAAGAGCCAAGGCTTGGGGAACTAAGAGTATGCATTGGAGTCAGCTAAAACCTCATAGCCTGTGAAAGCACTGTCTGACAAGCTTCCAGTTGTTTGACTACCTATGACCACCCTAACCGTTAGGGTTTGGCTCGGTTAACAGGAGCTGAATGGGAAGAATGCTTGCCCAACTGCCCCTCTAAGGTGCTGCCAACCAATGAGCCAAGTTGACAGGCCTGTCATCAGCAGTTCCCTTGAGTACCGCAGACCCGCATGGCTCCGGAATCAGACAATCCAGACTGCCACAAAGGATTGACGTGATTCCAACATTCGTTTCAAATGGTCCCATTGGTTCTTTAACGTCTACCTGAACAGGAAGAGATAGTGCCACGGCTTAACATCTCATCCAAAGAATGGCACCTCTGACAATGCAGCACTAGACAATATGAATTAAAAGTCCTGACGTAGGGCCTGAACCCATAACCTTCTGATTCAGAGGTGAGACTGTTACTATTTGAGCCAGGCTAACACAAGGGCCACTTACAGATGATTCTTGGGGAACCACCCTGCAGGGTGAATCAGCACCTCTTCAGGAGAATACAGGAAAAAGTGGAAGAGAAGATAAAACAAAAGCCTTTTGAACTCATACACAGGCAGGGATGAAACAGTTGTTACGCCAGATATTTAAGGATATGCTCTTGGATTACTCATTGCCAGTTTTAAGACCAAGTTGAAGTTGATCTTAACAGTATGGTAGAGCTCTGTAAAAGTTCTCACAGAAGACTATCCCAATTACAGTGGTCATGCTATAGTAGGTAGGAAGGTGAACTAAAAAGACGTGAAATTTGTCTTAGCTCATAAGACCATTTTGTCTTAAAATTTAAGATTGCGTGTGGAAAATTCTTAAACTTAGTTTTAATTTGATTTGAAGCTGATTTTCTAAACTTTTCCTAAACATTCAGCAGATCAAGCTGACAATGAGCTGCCCGACCACTTTCATTTGATATATCTAACCCATCAGCTGCAATGTGTCAGATATGTTAAATGAAAGGAAAAATATTTCATAAGATATTAGGGAGTTCCATCATATCAAGAATGGAGATCATTAAAATAAAATTTTCTATCTTTGATGTAAAAGAAAGCACAATCTGGAAAATAATGAATTTAGTAAACAACTTGAGCAAATATGCTTTAGCTTTAGGGTTCAACTTCCCTATTATTTTCTATTTTACATTCAGCAACAAAGATCCTTTGCTGGGTGATGAGCAACTGCAGATGAAGGGATTTGATTTGGGAAACTGTATAGTTTTCTTTAGAATCATAGCACACTTACCCTGCGACTAGTGAAGGGTAACTTAAATTCATACAACCAACATGAAATATGTGTACACAGTGAATTGGTGCTCATTGGCGAAAGAAGATATTAACTAATTAATATTAATTATCTAACTGAAAACATCTAGTCCATTTCAACCTGTTATTAACAAGACTCCTCTTGTTTACACATTAAAACAAATTGCAAAAGAAAATGTTAACTGTACAGTACTTGTCCAGCTAGGACTGCCTTACACATCAAGCCTGTGGCTTGCAGGGTTTAGGGCATGCTTAAACTTCCAGGCAGGCTAGTCAACTATGAATAGTCTCGGATAACTATCCACCTACCTATCTTTGCCAAGTATATCTCCTCAGACCAACAACAACAACTTGTATTTATATAGCGCCCTTCACACGGGGTAGCATCCCGGAGTGTTTCAGTCCATCACCCAAGGAGATCCATTTACTTTATTTTGGAATTCAAACCCAACTCAATCAACTGAGCTACCTATGATGTTATATTAATCCATTGTTACATGAGAGTTATACATGAGGGAGTCTGGAATAGAGGGGAATTGGAAAGGGGATTGGGAGGGAATGAAACACCGGCACTGAGTTGTTGGGCTGAATGGCCTGTTTCTGTGTTGTAGCATTTGATGTCATATATGCCTAATTATTGATGAAACCAGAATTTGGAAGTTTGTGTCTAAATTTGGACATTTTTATTTCAAAAGACCTTGATTCATTGAAGACAATCAACAAGAAATATTGATAATGATCCTTTTTTAGAGCTCTAAAGTTTGAGGCGGAACAGAGTGTGTCATAGATTTGAATTTGCTACATATCGGAGATTTGTGGTCAACACAATGTTAAAACAACTTAGCAAGAATAAGTCCAATACGTCCAAAGTCCAATACTGTACAGCATGCTACCCGTGCTTCATAAAAACCAAGTATGAAACTCAACTATGACATAAATAATATTGGTCGTAACATTGGATTGATGTCTTGGAATCTGTGCTTGATTCTCTTCAGGCAACTATAATATTTCACAGAGCTTCAGCTTGTCATTGGCATTAACTGTAGTTATTGCCTTGCCAGCTTGCTATAGTTCACAATAGTACAAATGGTTTCTGATCTATTGTAAGCTCCACTTCAGTGGTTCAAATTATACTTTCTTGTTCTATATTTTACTGGGTCTAATGTTTTGAATTGTTTCTCAATGGAATTCCTTAATATTGAACTCGAGATATGAAAATGAGGATTCCTTCTGGAAGCTGAAAGTGCGTCACTCCATACTGTAAGTGTTCCTCTCTGACGCAATGTACTTCCAGAGAGCCATTCCCGTAAGTCGACAGGAATTCTAACAGGATTCCTTGTTGAAGAATTCCTTATCAAGGAATCCCATTAAGAAATACCACATTCTTGTCCTTCTTATACTCTTATCGCAAGGAAACAACTTAGCTGTTATTAACACACAAGCCAGTTCAACAGCAATCGAGTCATACTGAATTACAATTTATATTTTTCTTTGAAATATATAAACAACTGGTGTCTAGTTTAAATTCATCAACTTGCCAGAACTTTGTGAGACCCATTTAAAAAAAACTAGCTGGAAGGAGATCACAATGTACAATTTAAATCATGTTACAAGTTGACAGCTGGTCGATCAGCTGTTCAGCACATTGGCTTAATTTCTGAATCAGAGTTGCACTCATCCTGCCAATACTGAGATGCCAATTGCCTGGCATCCACCTCATGATTGTACTGCAACAAAATTCTCTTAGTTTCTTAGATTTATTTTTCCCAAGGATTTTTTGAAAGGTATTTGATTAATTTTCCTCTCTCCTTTCTTCAACAGAATCCCTTGCCAAGAGGGAAGGAATGCAAACTGCTGTTAATCCTTTGGCAATAGCATCATTTTATCAGCCACAAGTAGGTGCATGAGACTAGCCCAGGTGCCTCTTTGCTCCTTTCTGACTTTCAGCTACCATATGGCTGATAGTTACCACAATGGATAACTCTGCAGCTTGCACAGCCAAGACCGCCCTAGCCATCAGGGCTTTGGCTTGCAATATTAAGAACATGTCTACACCTCAAAGTCTATCTTGTAATTACAAAATTTGATGGACTTTTGCCAGGTTTGGCTCCCAGAGCCAGTTTAGTGCCCAGTGAGATCTTGTTTGCCTCCCAAAGGAAAATACAGTTTATTGCCTTTGAAAGAGCAGTCTTAAAGACTATGCCACAATTCCATGCAATCTTGTCAGTATGGCTCAGTTGGTAGCACTTTCACATCTGAGTCAATAAACTTCGTGTTCTGAAAATGAAGTGGGTGGGATGGAGGCTGAAAAATTCCAGATTATTATGTTGTGCTCCCCCACCCCCCCCCGCCCATCACATTTCTAGGCAGGGCAGGGAGAGGGAGGTTCAACATTTATACAGGGGATTGTACACATATATATTTCCCTCCCAGCTCTGCCTTGAAGTACAAGCACTGTTGTAATACAATTGTAATACGTACTGGCCATGGGCTGCATAAAAACCAACTGCTAGGTACATCTGAATAAGTGTGCAGTAGTTAACTCACAGACGTTGATCCTTTAGGGTGAGCTGGAGCTCTTTAAATGATATGGAGTCAATTAAGTCACACTGTCAGTCGATTCCCATATTGACAGTATCTGCTAACAGCAAAAGTGGAACCAAGACTTAAATAAAGCTAACTATACAATGAAAATAATAATTAGAAATGCACAGATACCCTGGAGTAATTTACTTGGGAACTCAACTAATTAAACAGTTCAGATAATGGTCGTCAACCATTTAATCGTAGCTCTTATAGTTTACTACACATTCTGAACAATTCACTTAAAGTAAAGTAAGCCTTGTAAAATAATCATTGCCAGGTACCCATTTATTCAAAGTCCCCTAACAAGTGAGATTGTCTGAGATCGGTGATTCCTGTTTGAACGAGCTCACACTAATTTCACATAGCTTCATGAAACTTATACTTTCCTTCTTTTATAGACATATAAAAATATATTTAAAAAATGTTGAAACAGAAGGCAGGTGCAATGCAGATCTATTAGAATTTTGGTTAACTAAGTCGCTTCTAAAGATACCAATGTAATGCCAGTGATTATAAATGTTGCTCCCAGGAGCATTATTGCAACTGTACAAAGTGGTTAATGGTTAATTAACATTGAAATGAATGTAGTAAGCAAATAAATGGATATGGTAAACAAGTGAATTGAATATGAATCCACTTTAATGATATATTAATATTTCAATTTAACATCTTCAACCACTAATGGTGGAGGCATTTTTAAAAGATGGTCTGCATACCATTATGTAGCCTTATGGTTCAGTTATGCTTAAATATCCCGTAACACGTTTGAAAAAAGAAGGAAGTTCTCAACCTATGAAATGTAATACAGAATCCGTAATGGCAAAGACAAAATTTACACAATTCAACCCTTACTGCCAAGAAATCCAATCTAGAGTTGTCAGTGGTAGGTTAATTCTTGACATCTCTGAAAGACCACTTCTATTCTCTTTTGCTTCACTCGCTGCATTATAATTGCAATATAATGGCTAGTGTGTGTTTCCTCCTGGAACATCTTTCTATTTTCTACTGATTGTCCATTCAACTTTTTAAATTCTGGTGGAGCAGAAGTACGAACAAACAGTAAACCATGTTCCACACATTTTGAGGAATGTAACATAATAATAATAATCCTGGTACTTGATATAGTACCTAGTCACGTCTTCGAGATGTCTTAAAACACTTCACAGAATATACTAAAGTGAATTGACTGTATACTTTGTGGGAGAAACAAGGAAACCAATTGCTCACAGCAGTGTTCCACAAACAGTCGTGGATTGAGTGACCAAATTATTATTTTTTTAATTTATTTTTTGAAGCGATTATTATCCCCGGAACAGCGATCTGTCAATCGACTAACAACCGGGTTCCTACTTACCGCTACAACAACAAAATTACATTTGTAAAGCGCCTTTCATGTTGGGAAGACGTCCCAAGGCGCTAGACAGACAGAGTTACAGACCCGAGCTGGCCTGGACTTACCGCTAGGTAAACAAAGGCGTGTGGAATAAGGAAACTTGCCCAACATTTCGTCCTGCTAGTAGGGTTATACATGGGGTTTTGCAAATCCCAGTATAGAGGTGTGGGTGGGCAATAATACCCTGATACTGTAGTGGCACTGCCGGACCTTTTCTCAGCGATGACTAAGCTTTGGCACAAAATGTTGGGATTTTAATGGACTGACTATCTATCAATTTATCTAACCAACTATTACACAATTCAGGACATCAAATGATTGGATGGCCAGAGACGTAAGAGCTCCATGCAACACAAGCCTCCAACTAGTGTGGGTGTTATCATCATTGACATCAAGCATGAGCAGTTGAAAGGCTCAGTAAACAGAATTGTTACAACATCCTACAGATATCCATCATTTTCACAAACGGCTGAAGAGAGGGCTGTATCAGGAGTGGAATCATATTTATTAATGCTTTGAATTCTGTCTTTAAAACTAGATTTGGATCTTCAAAGTCATCAAAATGTATTGCACTGTTTTGTTATCTGATTTCTCAGTCTATGAAGTGCGTGATGTTGCAGCTCTGGGAATAAGGAATGTGGTTTTCTATCCCTGGGAGATGGTAAACATTTTTCTATTTCTAGGGAAACGGGAGGTTTTGCATGGTTTTGCAATTTGGATTTTCCTCCCATCATATATACTGCTGCTTTTGAGTCAAAGCATCTATTTGTTCTTAGACATTTGGCATGTGTCGGGAATGTTTTGTGAATAAATGTTCTTGTCTCAATTATGGCTGCAACCTCAAAGCTGGGATATTCTAAAGTTCAGTTTTAGCCTACAGGCTTTCCGAATAAATTCTGTTGAAACATACTGGAAACCCATGCTTCACATGCTATTGCTTTACATTGATGGACGTATTGCACTGTTTTCTTATCTGATTTTTGTGTTTATGAAGCTTATGATGTTGCAGCTCTGGTAATAGGGAATGTGGTTTTCTATCTCCGGAAGATGGCAAACACTTTTCTATTTCTAGGGAAACAGGGGAGGGAGCTATGTTTTTCAGTTTTGATTTTCCTCCCATCATTTACACTGCTCCTTTTGAGTTAAAGTATATTCTTGTTCTTAGACTTTTGACATATGTTGGGTTTGTTTCGTGAATACATGTTCTTGTCTCAATTATGGTCACAACCTCAAAGCTGGGATTCTTTAAAGCTTTTTTAAAATATTTTTATATTTTGACAGCACTACATTGCATTTTCCACCCAAGGGGTCCGAAAACTTGGACACCACAAAAATCGTTATTTACTTTAACCGCAACCTTGAGGGTGAAACAGTAGGTGGATGATCAAAAGATAGTGTCTAATTTGACATCACATTCCATGGATTGAGATAGCACGTGTATGTTCTTTGACATTATTTCAATTTCTGTTCAGCTATTCATTTAAAGACACCACTTAAAATGTCCACCTCTTATTATCTGCGCACATAAGTTGAATATTTGGGTTTGGATCAGGTTGAAGCATGTTATATTGTTAGGAGTAACTTTGTTTTTTACTGAAGAACACACGCTTCTCCAGAGTACAAGCTGGCAAGCTTTCAAATCAATCATATACAACATTTATTGTACTCAATGCAAAGACATGCCAGTTAAACACACCAGCAAGTCACATAAGGGCATCTCTACTGTTGCTTTGTCGCAGATGAATAGACCAACAAGCTTTGTATAATCTTTGCATTTGATATGGCGTCTTATCATGTCATCGAGACATCTTCAAGCAGTTCACAGGATTTATTGTAAAATGTAGCGACGGTTTATTTGCAGGTGATTGTGGCAGCCAGTTTGGGCACTGCAATGTTCTACAAACAGCCAAGAAGTGAATGACCGATTTTTATTTTAAAATGTGGTCGTGCAGGTGACTGTGAAACATCACATGAAAATGTTAATCATCATTGACTGTAATCAAAGGATTAGTCATGGATTCTATTGTTAGAATTTGAACTGCCACAATCCCAGGGAAAAGATATGGCAACATTACCAAGTTTACAGAGCCTCAGCAGCTCTAGAAGATAATGTGTAGCAGCAGCAGTAGAAAGGTTTTTTATTCTAAATATAGTCCTGGCGATGACAAGTTTAACAAACTGCCTGAAAACCAAATGGCTGCTCTGATGGCTGTGCTACTCAGCCATACAGACCTAGAAGATTTCAAGATCCTCATCCTCACCTACAAGGCCATTCACGGCCTTGCTCCCTCCTACCTCTCCAACCTACTATCCCCCTACCTACCTGCCCGTACCCTCCGTTCCTCTGGCTCCGGTCTGCTCCACGTCCCCCGCCCAACCGCCCTACCATCGGTGGTCGGGCCTTCAGCCTCTCAGCCCCCAGGCTCTGGAACTCCATCCCCAGTGCCTTCGCCTTGCTTCCTCCCTTTCCTCCTTCAAGGCCGGTCTCAAAACCTTTCTCTTTGACCGTGCCTTCAGCTCCCCTCTCGACTCTCTTCCCCTCCTCGCTCCCTCCCTTCCTTCCCCTCACCCTGACCATTTCCCCCTCCTTGCTCCCTCCCTTCCCTCACCCTGACCATTTCCCCCTCCTCGCTCCCTCCCTTCCCTCCCCTCACCCTGACCATTTCCCCCCTGCTCGGGTCATGACCCAACTGTGCAGCGCCTTGGGACGTCCTCCTGACGTGAAAGGCGCTTTATAAATGGAATCTTGTTGTTGTTGTTGTTGTAGAAGATATGAAGTGCAATTCTTGGTCTTTGCTGAATTTAGATGGAAGTTGCAATTCACATCAGTGGTCCTTCGCTTGGAAGGGGGAAAAGGGAGAGGAATCAACTTGTTCCCAGTCTTCATCACTTCTTACTGGTGTCTACTGGAAAGTGCAGGCGCTTGTTGGGTGAAGACAGGATCATGCTTTGTAATAATAATAAGTACAATTCTTGCATTATTTTGCTTTTTTTGATAATCCTTGCACTTGATATAGAGCCTTAGACGTCTTCGAGACATCTGAAAGCGCTTAACAGAATATATTGTAAAGCGAATTGGCTGTATATTTTGTGGGAAAAATACGACAGCCAATTGCGCATAGCAGTGTCCCACAAACAGTCGTGGATTGAGTGATTAAATTGTTACTATATTTTTACCAGATACCAATGATACAAGAAGGATGAGATCAAATCTTCAAGCAAAACCTCTTTTATCATCTTCATGTAAAATACATAGATATTTGAAGGAGTTCAAATGGACAAGACTATTGAAAAAAAGGAAATTTTAGTTGTCATGTGAATACAAGAGCACAGAAGTATTATGCTAAATTTATACAAGATATTGGCTAGGCCAAAGTTGTAGTATTCCTCTGTTTGGGACTATGGGATGGAAGCAGTTATCACTAGTAGGACCATTAGAGAAGATTGCACCAGTACAGCTACAAGTGTTTGTCTGGCTCAATTGTTAGCACTCTGGTCTTTCAGTCAAAAATTTATGGGTTCACGCTCCATGTCAAATATTTGAATGCATATTTTCTAGGCTGGCAATCTATTAGATTCACCTACAAAATAACGCAGTCACTTACACTTTACGAATCTTGTGAAACGTTTTAAGACATCCTCCTGAGGTGAAAAGCGCAATACCAAATGCAAGGATTATTATTAATGAGATGAATGTTCCATTCTGGACTGTAAGCATTCTATGACTCCAACCTCTCATGCCAGACTACCAAAGCTCATAAAACTTTAAGTTCAAACTGCGTTGTCTCTCCTCTGGAAGTTACACTCAGATTCCCTCGTTATAAGGCAATATGGTGGAACACAAATTACTGCAGAATATTTGGCATTAGCTGTGGGAACACGTTCATCTGATCTGTCACAACATGAGAAGTGCCTCCTTAATGTACTTATGATACATTCAATAACAGTACAAGTGGATTTGTCATTTAAATATAATCGTGAGTGAGAAAGAGATTACAATAGTAATTGATTGAAGTAGAGCAGAGAAGCCAGCACAGTGCAACTGAATAAAGGAGGTCAGAAAGATAGAGAACAGAACGATTGGATAAAGAAGGTCAGAAAGAACATCGTAGTTACTTTTGGTTTATGATTTTTCTCATCTTGATGTTGGCCATCACAACGACAACAACAACAAGTTGCATTTATATAGTGCCCTTCATGTAGGATAACATCTTGGAGCGCTTCGACCAAAATCTACATTAAAATCTATATACAAATTATAAATGATTTATGGGGTGGTAGTTTTAAGCCTAAGAAATGTCTACGGTAAATGTGTTTTTTAACAAAGATGTTTGCTCTGGATTTTGCTGAAATAATTAAATATGTTGGATTAGGATGCTCTCATCTGAATGTACTCAGCAGAAGAAACATTATAGTGATGTAAATCAAATTTGCATGTACACAAAACCCCCAAAATCTCATTTATAATTGTGCAACCCAGAATTCAACAGTGAGGATCGAAGCCACTTTTGTACCATTTACTTTCCACCCCTGACTCTTGGTTTCTTGCTTCGCAGGTTCTGAACAAATAACTTATGAGATATGACTTGTGTACCCAGTATTGATATTTGATTGCTCGATATAACAATAATCCTTGCATTTGATATAGCGCCTTCACGTCTTTGAGATGTCTCAAAGCGCTTCACAGAATATACTGTAAAGTGAATTGACTGTATATTTTGTGGGCGAAATATGGCAGCCAATTGCACACGGTAGTGTCCCACAAACAGTCGTGGATTGAGTGACCAAATTATTTTTATTTATTTATTTATTTATTTATTGAAGGGATTATTACCCCCGGAAAAGGGTTCCATCATTTGACTAACAACTGGATTCCTACTTACTGCTAGGTGAACAGAGGCATGTGGAGTAAGGAAACTTGCCCAATGTTTCGCCCTGCCCGGGAATCGAACCCAGGTCCTCTCACTTGCGAGGTGAGTGCTCTAACCACTGAGATACAGGATTCTATATTTGGTTTCCACTTTTAGCTGATGTCTACCTCTCTCTGCTGATGTGCTAATCAGTAATCTGAACATATTCATGATAAATGTATGGTGTGTCCTTTCTGTTGACTCTTACATTTATGATTGGAATATTTCAATTTAAATAATTACTTTCTTCCAACACATCATTTCATCAGAGTACTGGTGATTCCAATTTTCTTTGGTTGTATCATTGGGAATTAACCGGCATTGTTTCCTCTGTTACACCATGTGAGTTTATTTCTTTTTAGAACATATTTAGTGTTCCATCGCTTGCAGCTTTTCACACTCATTCCATCCCAGTACTGTACGTTTAGGTGTACTTTAAGTGTCAGCTGAGCTAGGTTGATACCTCTCTTACCTCTGAGTCAGATGGTTGTAGGTTCAAGTTGCACATCAAGACTTTGAGACTCTGATACAGTGCCGGGGTGGTACTGCATTGTTGGAGGTGCCATCCTTCGGATGAAATATTGGATTAAGGTCCTGCCTTCCACTGCAGGTGTTCATTAAAGATCCCATGACACTA